GGAGGGAGGGAGAAAAGAAGAGTACAGGAGCAGTCTGGGGCGGGGGGTATCAGGCCACAAGGGAGGGTGCAAGAGCAAGAGAGGATGCAGGGTCTGAGTATAGGGTGGTGCAGGGGTGCTTACCTGGCTTTGTGCCCAGGCACCACCTCCCACTGCCCCCATTGGCTGCAATTCCAGCCAATGGAAGCAAGGGAGAAAGTCTCCAGGCGGCGCTTCCCTGTGTGGCCATTCCCCCAGCTGGGGGGTGGGGGAATGGCAGTGCACACAGCCACCTGCTCTCCCTGCAAACCGGATCAGGCCCACAAGGCTTGGGGCTTCCCCCCCATACAGTGGGAAGCTGGTTCTGGTGCTCCAACCTTGCAGAGGGAGGGGCCGCAGGGCTAGAGTGCCTGTGTGGGTTCCTCACTGCAGGGGGGGGGGGCTGAGCCTCAAGCTGCGGCCCACTAGTGTTCTGTCAACTGCACTTTGAGAACCACTGTTCTAAGTGCACTTGCCACTAAAGTGGCATGGAGACATACCTTTGCCAGTGGGTTTTAGAGCTATGTAGATTCCAGAATAACAGGAATAATTCCAGGTTTTTAGGAAAGTGTACACAAGTGATGACAAACCTTTCTGCCCCTTTCATCAGGCTCTCTGTCCCTTTCTGCTCCTTTCTCTCTCTGCCTCACTCTTGCCCCTGCCCATCTTGCCTCCTCCAGCCCTGTTTCTGCCCCTCTTCTCCTATTCTTTGTTCCTGCTTCTCTGACGCTCATCATGTGCCTCTCCTGGTATTGTGCCTGTCCCCTCCCTTCTGGCTGTTGCTCCTAACACTGTTCCTTTCTAGGCTCTTATCTTTCCTCGCAGCCAGGGGTCCTACCCTTGCTCCTCACTCTGCACAACTTCCCCTCCAGCACCCTTACCCTGCAGCACTCATCAGTTTGTCTTCTCTTTTTCATGCAAACTGCCTGTATGACAGCAGGGGCAGCACTGATAGAAAAGGAGAGAGAGAGTCTCACTGCTCTCACTTCTGGTGCCTGGTAGCACAGGTACTCCTGGAATGTAGGAGCAACTGCAGTAAAAATCCTGCTTAGCCTTGGGATGGAGAAGGCCCAGTCACTCTGCATGAGCAGTCTGATTAGCTGATAGAAACTGTGAGGGGATGGAGCACGCTCAGCGTAGTTGGATTAATCAGAGAATTCTGCTGCCAAACTTTAACAAGCCTCTACTGAGCATGTGCAAACAGATTTTCCACAGGCATATAGTTAGAGCCCTGCAAATTTGTGACTATCTATATCTCCAAGTATTTGTATCCACTGATGTCAATGCAGATATCCATAGCTCATTTTTGAAGATACAAAATATGCAGATGTGGATACAATTGTATTTCCACAGGACTTTAGATATAGTGTGGTCAAATTTAGGGGGAATTTCACATGAACGCTAAAAAGCAATTCCTTGACTCAAAGGTCATACCCATGCTAAATTTTAAGTCAGGTCCAAAGCATGGATACAATATAGTTTCTCAACAAAACAGTTATTTTTTTAGACTTGGGGAAAACAAGATATTTTCCCTTAATTTTGTTTTGTTATAGATGAACTGTTTGATGGAATTTTTTGAACGTTTCAGCTAAGAGTTAGAAACCCATCATGGAACTTTCCAGACGCAGCAATTTAAATTTGGCCAAGCTGTCAGCAACTGAAAACGGGGTCTTACAATGCAAAGCATTGGGCAACCTTAACAAAGACAACACAACCTGCACAACTTTTAATAAATTAAGATTGTTGTAAACAAGCCCCTTTCTGTGAGCACTCTAGTATACTGTTTGTTGAATATCTAATTAGGAAGGCCCTACCAAAGTCACAGCTGTGAAAATACATCACTGACTGTCCAATCTGATCTTCCTTGTGAAATCTGGCATGTACTTGGGGTCCCTTATCCTGTGCAGGGCTTCAGCTGCTAGTCTCGGATGGGAATGGGGAGGGATGCAACTTCCTGTTTCCCTGCAGGAGCAAGACCCATCTCTGAGAATTTCCCCTAACTTCAAGAAACTTGACAGTTCAAACTGTCACTTCCCCTGTCCCTGTGCAGAGAGGTTGTGGTTTGAGCTGTCACTCCCCCATGCAGAGAAGCTGCACTCAAACTATCACCCCTCTGTGCAGAGAGACTGTGGCTGCAGCTGTCACCCCCGATATAGAGAGGCTGTAGCTTCAGCTGTCAACCCCTGAATGGAGAGGCTGCAGCTCTGGCTATCACCCACCACACAGGCAGAGGACTACTAGAAAAACCAGACCTATAGTAACCCATCCTCCATACTCTCTGACCTTCACTTTTGCACTGCTACTGCTGGTGTCACTGGCATTAGAGCTGGGCATGCAGCCAGCAGCCTTCTCTGATTGCCCAGCTCTGAAGGCAGTATCCCTAGTAACAGGGAAGAAGTAGGGTGGTAATCCTACAACCTTCCTACACTAGTCTTGCAATCGCTGGATCCTGATCATCTTTTGGATCCTCCCCAGTTACAACGCCCTAAAATTTCAGATGTAAACATTTGAAAATTTTAAATGAACTAATTTTACTCCCAGCCATGAAACTGACCAAAGCAGACCATTAATTTAGTTGGGCCCTACTAATCAGATTGTAAGCTCCTTGATGCAAAAGACCATCTCTCTCTCATTGTCATTCTATGAAGCACCAATCATATTGTTGGTGCTTAAATAATTAATAGTTTGCATTTCTACAGCCAAGAATCTCAAAGTGCTTTATAAATTTTAAGCACCCATGTATACTAAATCTTAGCACCCATACGTACTAAAGGAAGTAACATTTCATTTTTCAGAGGGGAAAACTAAGTCACAAGAAATTATTTGACTTTCACAAGGCTACACTATGAATTTGTGAAAGACTATGAATAGAATCCAGCTCCCCTGACTTTCAGCCTTGTTCTTACATCAAAATACGACTTTTCCTAACAGTAATTATAGTTACTAAAAAATATGCCATGCAACGACCAAATATTGAATAGCTGTCATCATTCTGGAGAGTGTAAATGTGGAAGTACAGATTTTTTTTAACAAATTCATAGTGGCATTTTTAAGATAAAGGACTTGTCATAGACACATCATGGTTCCCGATACATTTTCTGCTTCTAGAATTCATAGGTCTTAGATATTTCAAAAAGGCATCTACCGCAGTAACATCTATTTTCTTTTAAAATCAAAGTTAGCTGGATCGATTGTTGGAAAATGTGCACTGGATGAGCATTTGGGACTGAATTTTTAAAAATTAAAACAGCAATGTTAATGTTTTAATGTTGCCTTTGGGCACAAACTGGATAACCTGACTGTAATTGTTTTAGTATACAGATTTGTATTACTCCTGGGGAATGCTGTGCTACTTGTTGACATGGTATATACACTGAACCGTGAGATAATTTTGCAAGTTATCCAAGTGTATTCATATGTGTTATATATTTTAATCATCTATTGTTAGCATACATGTTTCCTCTGGAGTCTTTGTATTTTTTAAAATGATCATTTAATGTTAAAAGTATGTTAAAACCCAGAGTACTGAGCTTAAATATTAATCAATTTCACCAAAGGCAAGAAATTCAGAATCAGGCGGGAACTCTAGAATAATACTTTCCTCAACTTATCCTGTGATAGTCAGGCATTGTAGAACACATGGTAACAGATAAATTATCTAAGAACTGTTATGCTCTGGTCACAAGGCATGATAAAAAAAAAATCAATGAAATCTGAGATGTAAGAGACTTAATAGGTTATCCAGTCCATCTCTTAGGGCCACCACAGTTGTCCTCTACAGTATAATTTCCAGTGGTTTGTAAATTTTAGTCCTCAGAGAGGGAGGAGATGTACTTTTCCTTCATGAATCTGTTCTACAGCCTCATTCATCTGTCAGCAAATTTTTCTTGCTATTCAAATACTGTTGCACACTGAAACTGACCATTTAAAAAAGGTCCCTTCTTAACGCAACGTATGTGCTCCTTGTGTATCAGGGTGACATCTGCTAACTTTAGTGACCAAAGTACATTTTGACTATTAGCCCTGCAGAGATGATATAGTTCAGATGGAGGGAATTGATTTTTTTCCTGTAAACTGAGCCCATATGACAGGAGTTACTGAAAGACACATTTTTTCAGTCACTTTTCAGACTAGAAATGCACTTTCACTGCTGAGTATTCTTGTCTACCTAGTTATTTCATTCCTCTATTCCAAGTATAGTCCTATAACAGTATTCCCTTTATATTGAGATCTTTAACCAGCTCCAGATGAAGTTACATTGGTCTACTCTTATTTATTACAGTCACCTTTTTCAGAGAAATTGTAGTTTACTGTGATAGTATCATTTAGGGTAATGAAAGATCAGTAGCCTGGGAGAAAACTCAATGTCAGTTATTTGCTTTCTAGGGTTTAGATCTGACAATTATTTAACTATATATTTTACAAAGAGTTAGAAGAATAAGGTTCTCAAAAAAAGACTGTGCTATGAAAAGGAAATCTTTTCATTTTGACAAAATATTTTTGTCCTTCGCTTTAGAAATAACAGAATAACTAGATTTTGCTCAAGAAAGTCTTGTGTGCTGGGAGTGCAAAGGCAACATATTCAATCACACCAGAACATAAGAACCTCCTGTGATCAGAGCTCTGAACACTGTATTGAACTATCGGGGTGATCCAACAAGTTCCTTCTCTTGTTACAGAAACATCAGCAACTTATTGCTACTATGGTCTCTCTAAATAATAGGACTCATTCTTCGCTGAGAAAACATGTAGACTCATCTAAGCATGCCCAGTGTATCCCAACATTCCAATCAATGACTGAGTGTCACAGAAAATATGTGCCATACTATAAAACACAAGTAAAAGAACATTAGCCTGTTTCACTGCACTGAACCATGACAAACCGTGAGTGAGTTTTAAAAACCCAAACTCTGAAGCAGTTTCCTGTGTGGTAGGTTCTACACGTCTTTCCAAAAGCCAACCCTTCCCCAAGAATTACTTACGTCTGTGGAGCTGGGGCTAGGCAGGGACACAGGCTGAACAGATGCGGGGAAAGTAAATGTGGTCTCTGTCTTTTCATTTTCAGGGGAGTCAGGATGACTGGATAGAGGGGATGTGGGGGTCAGAGCCCCAAACCCCAGCACCGTGTTGTATTTAGGTGGACGACCTACACATTAACAAAAGGGAACAAAAAAAAGGGGAGGGGGAAAACGATCTTACATACCTTTGGCCAGTGGTCCTCATTGGCTAGCATGAAAAAGGAAATGATGTAGCACAGAGAGGAAATTAATATAGGAGTCACAAGTGGAAGAAGAGAAGCAAAGATTTAAACATTTTTTTTTTAGAAACGTACAAGTGGAATTTTTCAAGAAATGAATGCTTGAAAAATGCATAACAGAGGAGTGTGAAAATAAGCTCTGCTAATGGTCAAAGAGTCACTCTCACAAGTGTGGAGTGGGGCCTCTTATTCCTAGCAACGAGACTGTTCAGTTATCCGGAATTTGTATTGGCATCAAAACAACAGACAGGATGCAATGATTTCTGTTAGTTCAATTTTTTTACTATTATCTTACATCTCCCTATCTATCCTATGCCAGCAAATACCTCCCCAAATGTCCTTCTCTCATAGCTAGCACTCACCATTCCAAGTCTCCTTTCTTGCCTATATTTCCTATAGATCAGCACTTTCTATCCCAGAATATGCACAATATCTTAAGGGCAGATACTACTACCTGTGACTCCAAGTACCTTCCAAACTAACTCTACTTAGCTGCAGCTTCCCAATTCTTAGATTCTTTCCTAAGCTCCTATAATCAAATACCCACTGCCCCAATCATATAGATCTATTGTAGATTCCTTTAGAAAAGCACTAAGAACAGCCTTTATACCACTGACGTATGACAAAACTATACGAGCTTAGTACTCTCCCCATCTTTCCACATTCCAAGGTCACAAGGAATATAAATCTAGGAATAATTACCCAGCTCTTATAATAGTATTTACAAGATACCAATCTATATCCAGTACAAATTGCATTTTTCACTTGCATTCTAGATACTTTCCAGAAAAATGTACATCTTTAGAAAGAATCTTTGATGATGATGTCTGTAGCTGAAATTTCTGACAAGACCAACAGCATCTAGAATTAAATCAAAGCTCTAAAGGGCACAAGGCTGCATAAACTAAACTCCTAGTACACTGCTATATTAATTAAAATAATAAAACTACTATAGACCATTCCATTTGAAAATCTTGACCATCCCATTTGAAAATATGTTACTAATCTGGTGCTGATGAGGGGCGTACACTCACAACAGAGAGTGAGAATAAGACAGGAAGACAGCATTATATGAAACAGTCTAGGAAAATACCATGTATACACATACATCATATTGTGCATTTAAAAATCTACAAGTAATTCATCACACAATGTTATATAATAGAATTAAAAGTCTTTGGAAACATTACTAAACATATCCTGATGTACAGTGCACATATAGTATTTTACACACACACACACACACACACACACACACACACACACACACACACACTCTCTCTCTCTCTCTCAAACACAATTAAGATAATGGAAGGTGGCACTGGAAACTGATATCCTTTATTTATTCAGAGACAGCATGCCAGCAGAAGTGCAAACTTTTCTATACTGTTCCACCTATGTGTTTCCATTCTGCACTGAAGAGGCTACCTCAAGGAGAGACAGGGTCATTTGAATACCTGACCTCTTGGCCAAGAATACAGACACTGGAAATTATCAGTACCAGTTATGATTATGATTACCAGTTATGTGTGCACCTGTTCAATATGGACTGGACTGGGATCATCAGCTAATACAGCTCACCAAATAGCCACCAAATACTTAAAGATATTCACTCACTACTATCATGACATTAAAATCAATAACTTTGAAGTGAAATGTTATGTATTCCATCACTAATATTCTGATCCATCTATTGTGTTACACATGAATGCACATGCACACACATACACAACTCATCGCTGCATATAGTCTAAGGTTCATCACTCCACACATGGAATACATAGACCTTTGACTTTAATCACAAACTACATAGCACACTTGTAGTGTGCTTCTTGGGTGGGTCATGAAGTTAGAATCCTCGCTCATTTGGTTTTTTTTAACAAACCAAGGAGCAGAGATTTTGGAAGTCATTAAAGGTGAGCAGCAGAAGTGAGTGTTCAGCAGAGCTTAACTCTGATATTCAGCATCACAGACAGGGAAAAACAGTTAAGCTCCACTGTAATGTTCCAAGAGGTAAATTTTACCTTTAAGAATTTTAAAATATGATCTGTTATGCACAACTACTGCCCTGTAGGTGAATTCCACTGAATAACATTTAGTCGCTATCAGAAAGACTCTTCCTTCTTGAAGGACAGGTGGCATTTAAGATTCCAGGATGATAGTTGTTTCTGAAGAGTGCCTAAGGGGAGTGAGAAGCTTTTCCAGTGGAAGTAAAAATGCTTTTTGGGGGGGGGGGGGATCCTTCTCTTTGAAAAGCAACACATTGTGGGGAGTGAGTTCCTCACACTGAATTTCCCTATCTGTTGAAGTATACTTTGTCATGTTTTGCTTTTCTGGCAGTAGAAATGCAACCTAGGCAGTATTTAGAGAACTTTGGCAGCAACTCTCTTCCATTCAATGGTGTTCACAAACCTTATCTCGGGGCTACTCAACACGTGGCCTGTTTGTTAGTGGCCTGTGGTGCAGTTTGGGTTTACGCAGGGCTCAACACGTGGCCGGGTAGGAGCCAAAACAAAAAAGTAGACAATATAATCATCTTCTGTTGATATGCATTTTAATAGTTAAATTCCTGGACTGTCATTGCTCATTAAAAGTGCTGTCATTTGGGTGGAAATCGGGTAAATATTGCATTTTATTAATATCAGGAGAACTGAGTTAAATGGGGCCTGCATGTTGTGTAGTCTTGCCTTAACCTTTGTATTCATGACTGTCAGTTTGTAGCCCTTGGCATGTGCTGTATCACTGTAGCTGCCGCGGCTTCCGAAGTTGAGTAGCCCTGCCTTATCTTGTACCTTCTTCTGTACACAGTCTCATTTGTGTAGTGTGAGACTGAAATGAGGCATTGAGCTGCTCCATAAAACTAGCTAATCCTGGAAATTCTGGTCCTTGTTTACCATTGGAATTTATTGTGCAAAGGAAGTATTACAAAATTCTACATTGTTTCTTTTTCTTTCAAATCTCAAGGGGACTGCTGATGGGAGACAGAAATAAGCACACAACAACATGGCACTGTTGAAAATAACAGCTCACCTCTTTTACGTGTCCCAGGATGCATTGTGCTGTTCAAGTATGTGACTGCACTCTTCTTACGCTATAAAGAGGAAAAAAACAACTGTAGCTAAGTAATTTTTGGTAATAATTTAAATCTGTAAGAGCTCAGACAGAGTAGGACACTACAAACTGCGTTTACTGTCTACCCTGTTCTTGGGAAGATAAATGTGGAAATACAACAAACAGTCCAGGAGCACCTTCGAGATGAGTGGGTTTGATCTACGAAAGCTCATGACATAATAAAGTTGTTAGTCTCTAAGGCACAACAGGACTGCTCATTGTTTTTACAGTTACAGACTAACATAGCTACCCCTCTGAAACATTGGAAAAGTTAGCCTTCCATTTTGCTTCTGACATTTGGACTGCTATACACCAGCATACAAGCTGATGTCCTAATGGCAAGGCCAACTGTCACTGCCATTTAATGCCATGTTTATAATGGGGGTAGTGGGAGAGTAGTATTAGGCAGAAATGACTAGATTTATGATATAAAACACTGAAAGTCACAACCCCACATTGGTCTCCCAAACTATGACAACAATTTATCTGTTTAACTGAGCTTCAGAGAACTAAGTAGGTAGCAATATGGCAACAGTATACAGCCTCTCCCTGAGTTACGAATGAGTTAGGGATCAAACACTTGGCAGTAACTCAATTTGTTCGTAACTCGGACCCCACTGAGTTACATAGCGACCATGCTGTTCGTAAGCGCAGGTCGCGTTCGTAACTCGGGGACCGCCTTTACGACCGCTCCATGGGAGCTTTAGTCATAAACGCAAATGGTCGTAACTCAACCGTTCCCAACTTGGGGACCAGCTGTAAAATGAAACTGATGGCTTCCCTCCAGTAAGAGATTGATACCTCAGGTTCAAAAATGGCTCCACTGTACACTGGATTTGCTGTTGTTCTTCTTTTCCTCTCTTGTCTCTTACTTTGGATTTCTTGTGAAAAGAAAGGTTTAGGTTAGGAACTGTGAATTCAGAAAGCATAACAATGTCTACATTATACAATCTGCAAGCAAGCAAGTTCTGACTGTGAAGCTTTCCATGAGAAGACAACACTGATGATGATAGCCATCTGTTACACTCCTGAGTTTAAATGTGAATAGATAATGGTAAAAATAAACACATGGCCAGTCAGAATTATGAAATGGCTGGTGAGAACATGTGAACACAGATATTTCATGGTGAATTTCAACACAATTGGGAACCTAAATCCAGTAGCATGTGAGGAAACCTCATTGCTATTTAAGGCAAATATAGTTAGGCTTGGAAGGATTTTATTTTTAATCAGTAAATGTTGCATAAAGCATCCGCCAGAGCTATTACTTGATTTACACACACATTTTCTGGAAATGCATTAAACTGTAAGGTCCTGCCAACACATGACTTAAGAGAATGGCAAAATCTGCTGCGGACTGCATTGCTGTGAACACTGTTTAAGGGGGTCAGTCTCAGTCAAATGCTGTGCTCTGGAAGGTATCTTTGTAACTATTAATGATCTTACCCATTACAAAGATAGCTTCCCCAATTATCACCTCTAATATCATTAGCTCACAGACATTTACCTCCCCCCCATCCCTCTTCTGTTCTGAAATTTGATTTGTCCTTTTCATATGTGTTCATTTTTTTTATTGTATCCTTTGGTATATATGGTCGTGCCAATTTTCTTCCACTATTTGATCTGAGGAAGTGGGTCTGGCCCACGAAAGCTTATCACCTAATAAACCATCTTGTTAGTCTTTAAAGTGCTACATAGTCCTGTTTTTTGTTTCAGCTACACCAGACTAACACGGCTACATTTCTATCACCTTGTGATGAGTGTGTTTGCGAATGAGGAGTGTTTGGGGTGAGGGAAACAGCAAGGCTAAACACGGGGAGCCAAGTGGTGACTAATTAAAGACACAAGGCTGTCCTAAGCAAACAAAGGACCTGGACTGAGGGTGGTCTGGGCATGCTCCTGACCATGGAGGAAGGACCCCTGTGTGTGTGACAAGAGCCACCCAGTTCCAATAAAAGGAGAGAGCACATGGCAGAAGCCCTCTTTCTAACTAGCTTGTTGGCTCGGTGGCTAGAGGCAAACCTCAGGAGTCAATATGCCTTGGCTTGCTCTGCAACCTTTTGCCTGCATAAGTGTGAGTGTGCCTGAGGGCATGAATGAATGTGTGTGAATATACTAATGAATGTGTGTGTTTGTGTGGGTGAGAGAAATACAGAGGGTCCTCGCTATAAGTCCAAGATACGTTCCAAAAAACTTAGACTTATAGTGAAACAATTTAAAGCGGGGAATTTTTTTCCCCCGCAGCTGACTTCCATTTAAGCAAATTCGGGGGAAGTTTCGCATGACTTATAACGTGGGAGGACTTATAACACATCAGTTCCTACAAACATCAATGACTTGAGTGTGGAACGGATGTATACAGGACGACTTATAGCGGGGACCCTCTGTAGCTCAATCCCCTTTAGTTTAACCCTATAGTGGCATTCAATGACAGCTCAATCCCCTTGAGTTTAACCTGTAGTGGATTGTTAATTCCTCATGTAATAAATTCATGAGTGTAAACCTGCGGTGGTCTCCAGTGAAATGTGGGGTAATATTAACCACCAAAAAAACCTCCCAAAACTCACCATACAACCCCACCTCACAACCCCCACACACAAATTGACAAAAAGAAAATTTCCATTGATAATCAAAATGCACTGGTAGGCAAAGTAAGAAAAATTCTATTTGAAAACTCATAATTTGACAAAAAGATATTTACTTTATATATTTTAATGTGATGTTGAGAATTTGTGTTTTATGGTTATAAAGCTTTACATTTTTGAATCTCAACTTCTACTGTCATTAAACAGCAGTTTCCTAACCCACAATTTCAAAAATGCAAACAGATAAAAATTAGAAAAAAATTGCTTGGAATCCCTAATTTTGTGAAACTGTGAAAAATTAAATAAAGAATAGGAAAAATGCTTTAAAATAAGCATCTATATTATCAGTTGAAATTATAAAAATAAAAATTGACTTCTGCTTAGCCTAAATTTAGTACAGTGATATACAAGTCCTTGAATTTCTGCATATTTAGGCTTCATTTCATTGTAGGCCAAGAATAAAGAAATTATCAGGTCTACTAAAATACAATAGACCCATCATGTTCTCCATTTTCTAGAAATGAGAAATCCAGAGAAGGGGTTAAGGCACACTGACCTATTAGGTAATTTCTTCAAACATAAAAGCTACATAGCAGTCAATTAGTTTTTTACTGTTTCCTCTCAGACAGCACAGCATGCACTGCTTCCCCAGCCATTGACTTCAGATACCTAAACAACTGCTTTGTTTCCACCTAACAAGGGGGGGGGGGGAAATGAAGAGGTAGGGACAATTTTTACCTAAAGTGCTGTATGATCTTTGGTGTACGGGAACAAAGTTTACTTCACACAACAACATTTAGGACTTTTACTTCCAATTTAGAATTGCTGAGCAACAAGATCACTCAGGAACCATTCTGAGTTACTTTTCTTACCTTCCAGATGGTCATGTGTAACCAGTCCCAAAGATACCATAAAAGCAAGTTTCTGTGTCAGAAAGAGAAAACAGAGTTCATTCTAGTTACAATCCTTATCAGGAGGAACTTCATTTAGCCCAGAAAAGTCAGCTGGCAGACAACCAAGTAAGAAAAATACTAATAATTCTTTGCTCTTATATAGCACTTTTTATCTGTACATCTCAGAAAAAGTCACAGACACAAGGACAAGCAGCTTCCCCAATGTCACACCAAAAGTCACTGGCAGAGTTGGGAACAGATTCAAGGTTTCAACTCTTACACAATCACTGGCCTTTAGTAAACACCAGCACAGTCTAATTGCCAATTAAACATTGCTGATTTCACAGCTATACAATCATCATTGTTAGATTCTCAAAATAATTTACATTGTACCCACCAGGCAGGGGCTCTGGAAACCACCATACTGTGCAGAAAACTGTTCAAGAATTACTACTCTAGCACCAACAAAAGAATGTTTCAACAACTCTACCAGTGTTGGCAGTCAGAATTAATTCAGGTATTAACTTCATGGCACTGGCTCTTGGAGGTAGCTTCTAAACTCACTCCTGAGGGTGGGAAAGCTGACTGCAGAGGTATTTTGACTCCAGACTGCACTTACATTGCAGGGACGGCAAGGAACTATTCCCTTTTGAGTGAAGCAAATAGCTGGCGCTAAAAGGTGACAAGGAAACCCAATAAACTTAGAGCCATTCCTTGGATCCATTCTTTGGATCTTCTGCTGAGATCTGTTTAGATCTCAAGGACCAGCCCTCACTTAGAAAGGTGGAGCTTCTCCTTGAGCATCTAAATAGTTTAAAGGCCTCTTTTTGTGCCAACCTGCCTTTTGAGCTGAGCTCTGTCCAGTAACTTGCATGGACCCTAGGTGAATGATAGCAAAAAGAGTAGCAACAGACTCTGTCTCTGATCTTGCTTAGTTTCCAAGCCCTTTCAAAATGTGTGGTCAAATGAATCTGGACTTCAGCTTGTCCCATGGGACAGAAGGAGGAATAAGTAGCAATTCAGAAGCAGTACCCGAGAAGTGTTTGAGAGGCCTCTATCACCTCTTCTATATGGAAAGACTGGAGAAAGAATTCAGTCTTACAAGCACAGGAGAGAGGACGGGATGTGGAATAACAAATATTGACCACCACCATGAAAAGTGACTCACCTCAAGAAACCTCAGACACTAGGAGTTAAGACCGACATCATCTTCCACAGCAAGATGAGCACCATCTGAACCTATTTTATCTTTTTGTTTTAAAGTTTTGGCCATGTCTTTGTTATAGCAATGGACTTAATATGGCACTGATAGAACAGGAAATAACAGGCCCAGAAATAACCCATGATACAATGATAGGTATTTCAACTACTAACAAATTCACTCATTGTAAATAGCTTTTCAAGATTATTAGAAAGACTATTTACAAATGATATGGCTAAGAAGGCAAAACCACATGATGGAGCAAAGACTGGGAAGGATAGAGCTTAACAAGCACACTGCTACTGCAGCTGAAAGGAATCAACAACATTCAGAGCCATTCACTTCAATTCTAAACATGCAGCTCTCAAGGGTCAAAGCTTTTTAGAGATTTCCTACTATAATGCAGAAGATGCAGCTGCACCGAAGAACAGAAAACTGAACTGGGAATACACAAAGATAAAACCAATGGTCACTATAAATTAGGGATGTAAAATCCTAGTTAAACGATTAACTGTGATCCTGTGGTAAGCAGGGGGCTGCTCTAGCCCAAATGGGCTGGATCACCCTCACATGCAGCATGGTTGGCCTGGCCGGACTGAAGCGCCCCTGACCCGTGGCACTAGTTAACCGGTTACCCTGGTAAACATGCCAGTAAGGGGCATTCTTACCAGGTAATCAGTTAACTCTTTGCCTCCCTACCATAAGTCCAGCTGAATTAGGGAATCTGGTTGCAACGTGATTAGATCACCGATACACCAGGGCTATTCAACAAGTGGCCCACGGGCTGCATGTGGCCCTGATCCATTGGTTTATGGCTCGTGGTGCCGTTTGGGTTTACGTGTAGCTCAACATGCAGCCCATGGGTGGATCCTTACACATGGCCACCACTGGGAACACGCTCCACAACAGAGAGTCAATATAATGGTCTTCTGGTGATATGCATTTTAGTAGTTAAATTCCTGGACTGTCATTGCTCATTAAAAGTGCTGTCACATGGGTGGAAATTGGGTAAATATTGCGTTTTATTAATATCAGCAGAACTGACTTAAATGGAGCCTGCATGCTGTGTAGTCTTGCTTTAATCTTTGTATTCATGCCCGACAGTGTGAAAAGCTATTTGCATATATACTTGCAACCACACTTAAGTTGTGGCCCTCGGCATGAGCTGTGAGCATCATTGTGGCCCCCAGGGCTTCCAAAGTTGACTAGCCCTGCACTAGTCATTTTAAATGTAACCAGGGCTGATGTTTTGTAGTGTAGACAGGCACTAAAAAAATGCCCATTCAGAAAAAGGGATCAGACTTAAGTTGGGGTAGGTTCATAACCTGTCTGTCTTAAGATCAAAAGAAGTAGAAACAGCAAAGGCTCAAGGGCAAAGATGTTCCTTCCTTTCTTGTTTACTAGAATAAAGGTGTCAAGATGGTAAAAGCTTCTCAAGCAAGATCAAGATAACTCTCCAGCCTAGGGAATGATTCTACAAGTCTCAGATCTCAAAGGTATGGAAATCAAAAGACGTACTATAAGCTGGGTGAACTGTATGAAGGGTATTCTGAACTTTTAGGAATAAAAGGCTCAGCGTCCATAATTCTGGCAGTTCTGAACTATTTTATGCGCTATTTACATTTAGATTTATTATTCCCCATCTGTATTTCCCAATCCTTTTCAGCAAGCACACTGTAAGGAAAGTAAATGAGTCTCAAGACAGGGAAAAAAGAAATCGTGTTTGAGGGAGAAAGAGGGTATGTGTATGGTGATGTGGAAATGAGGAAACAAACAAATACACTACCTTCCCTTCTGGTTTATGGTGTTTTTTGAAAGACAGAACACCTCCTTTTTCTCATAGGGTGTGTCTACATTGCACCACAGGTTGAAATAAGATTGAGCTACTCAAATTGCATATCTTATTTCAATCTTATTTTGAAATAGCTTATTTCAAAATATGGCACTGTCTACACAGCACTTATTTCAAAATAAATCGCTATTCCGAAATGTCCCTTACTCCTCATGGAATGAGGTTTAAAGGGACATCGGAATAAAGAGCCTGTTATATTTCAAAATAATGGGCATGCTCAAAAGACGTGAAATAGCTATTTCGGGATACCTCCAGTAGCGCTGCAGTGTAGACGTAGCCCTAGAGAACACTGAATTTGCTCTGATACCTGTGGATTTTCTTCTCGTTTTGGCCTAGGTGCAGCTGGTGGAGTAATGGTACGATTCTCTGTTTGCTTCTCCTCCGTTTCCATGTGGGGTTTAACAGTCTGAAAAGAAATAAAGTACAACTCAATACTAAGACCCTAAGTGGCATGAAAAGTGGGTTGATTACAGACCAGCTGAAACCTTATGGAAAATCATTCTATGAAAAGTCCCTGTTCAGAGGTTATACACTCTTCATTGTTTTTTTCATTCTTCATTATGAATAAAGTTTGTCTGAAAACTGTCACAATGGGCATGTCTACACTAGGACATTATTTCAAAATAGCTTATCTTGAAATAATAATTTCCAAAATAATAATTTCAAATAGTGTATTGACACTACAAGGCAGCATCAAAATAGCTCAGAATTATTTCGAAATAGTGCACCCATACTGATTGGAGCCTGCATTGGATTTTAAGACCCCAGAAGCACTCTGGGGAGGGCACCAGGAGGGCAAACACTCAGGGTATGTCTATACTGCCACCCTAGTTCGAATTAGGGTGGCTAATGTAGTCATTCGAACTTGCAAACGAAGCCCAGGATTTAAATATCCAGGGCTTTATTTGCATGTTCCCGGGCGCTGCCATTTTAAAATGCCTCGTAGTTCGAACTTCCTGCCCGCGGCTACATGCGGCACGGGCTAGGTAGTTCGAATTAAAGCTCCTAATTCGAACTACTGTCAGTCCTCATTGCAGAGTTCGAACTACGGGGCATTTAAAAATGGCAGTGCCCAGGAACATGCAAATAAAGCCCGGGATGTTTAAATCCCGGGCTTCATTTGCAAGTTCGAATGACTACATTAGCCAGCCTAGTTCGAACTAGGGTGGCAGTGTAGACATACACTCAGACTGCTTGCTGAGGCTAGCTGAGACACATTTTCAGGGGCTCCTGTTTATGGCCACATCTCATATGCCACTCCTCCACCCCCATGGGATACCAAACTCACACCATGCGCTCTAGTTGCCTTTGCGGATGCCTGAGCACTCACATCATTGATCTGGAGCTGCTGCAAAGCAGTGCCAGATTCCGGGGCCTCATACTGCACCTCACAGCACAATTAATCCAAACTGCCTATGTGCTGTTCCAGCAGGACGACAACCAGCCCCAACTGGAGGACCCCCTTCACCCAGGTCCTGGTGCTCCTGCTGCAGCAAATGATCCTCAATCCCCTGAACACCGTGGAATGCCTCTTCTGGAGGAGGGAGACCAGTTCTAACTGATGGGACCTCATCATTCTGCAGTGATGGGACAACCAGCAGTGGCTCCAGAACTTCTGCATACGGAAGGCAATCTGTCTCAAGTTCTGTGAATGGCTCGCCCCTGCCCTCAGGCAACAGGATACCCAATTGCGACCCACCAACCCCCTGTAGAAGTGCATCACCATCACCTTCCGGAAGCTCACCATGCTGGACAGCTATCACTCCAGTGGGAACCAGTTCGGCGTGTGGAAATACACAATCAGGGCCATGCTCCTGCACATAGTCAATGCCATCAACATCCTGCTGCGGAGGTTCATCATTCTAGGCAATGTCTACCCCATTGTGGATGGTTTTGCCACCATGGATTTTCCCAATTGTGGGGGTGAGAACACAGACAGCACTCACATCCCCATCCTAGCCCCTGTGCCTCAGACTATATCAACAGAAAGGGGTACTTCTCTATGGTGCTGCAGACACTGGTGGACCACAAGGGACACTTCACGGACATTAATGTCGACTGGTCGGGGAAGGCGTATGACACCCACATCTTCTGGAACTCCTGCATGTTCCAAAAGATGCATGCCAGTACATTTTTCCCAAACTGCACCATCACGGTTGTGCAAGTGGACATACCGATCTGTATCCTCAGCAATGCAGCCTACCCTTTGCTCCCTTGGCTGTTGAAGCCCTACAGGGATAGCTTGGACCCCACCAATGAGAATCTCAACACCAGGCTCAGCAAATGCTATGTGGTTGTGGAGTGCGCCTTCGGCCACCTAAAGGGGAGGTTCAGGAGTCTCCTCACCCGCTTGGACATGAATGAACGCAACATCCTCTATATGGTGTCAGCCTGCTGTGTGCTCCACAACCTATGTGAGAACAAGGGGGAGAGTTTCCTGCCAGGGTGAAAGGAAGAGGCTGATTGGCTAACCAGGGCTTATGAGCAGCCAGGCCATATGGCAAGCACATCAGGGAGCTGTGCTCATCCAGGAGGCATAGAGGGAGAGTTTCAACCAATGTCACCTGTAAGACTCTCTCCCAGGCCTCTTCACAAGGGGTCCCTGCATAGCGCCCCTGTGTGCCTTTCCTCTTCCACCCTCCTTCCCACTCTGCCCTTCCTTCCCCGCTTCCCTCCAGAGCAAATAAAGAAGCCTTTAAAAAAAACAAAAACACACAACTCTGTTTATTTGGGGGAACATACAACTGGGGAGAGGGAAGAAGGCTCAGGGCTGGGGCTGGGACTGGTGCCTGCCTTGGGTAGCTCAGGAGGCTTCAGCTGCCCGAGAGGTCCCCCCACCACCACATGGCAGGGAGCCCATTCCGGAAGCTCACCATGCTGGACAGCTATCACTCCAGTGGGAACCAGTTCGGCGTGTGGAAATACACAATCAGGGCCATGCTCCTGCACATAGTCAATGCCATCAACATCCTGCTGCGGAGGTTCATCATTCTAGGCAATGTCTACCCCATTGTGGATGGTTTTGCCACCATGGATTTTCCCAATTGTGGGGGTGAGAACACAGACAGCACTCACATCCCCATCCTAGCCCCTGTGCCTCAGACTATATCAACAGAAAGGGGTACTTCTCTATGGTGCTGCAGACACTGGTGGACCACAAGGGACACTTCACGGACATTAATGTCGACTGGTCGGGGAAGGCGTATGACACCCACATCTTCTGGAACTCCTGCATGTTCCAAAAGATGCATGCCAGTACATTTTTCCCAAACTGCACCATCACGGTTGTGCAAGTGGACATACCGATCTGTATCCTCAGCAATGCAGCCTACCCTTTGCTCCCTTGGCTGTTGAAGCCCTACAGGGATAGCTTGGACCCCACCAATGAGAATCTCAACACCAGGCTCAGCAAATGCTATGTGGTTGTGGAGTGCGCCTTCGGCCACCTAAAGGGGAGGTTCAGGAGTCTCCTCACCCGCTTGGACATGAGTGAACGCAACATCCTCTATATGGTGTCAGCCTGCTGTGTGCTCCACAACCTATGTGAGAACAAGGGGGAGAGTTTCCTGCCAGGGTGAAAGGAAGAGGCTGATTGGCTAACCAGGGCTTATGAGCAGCCAGGCCATATGGCAAGCACATCAGGGAGCTGTGCTCATCCAGGAGGCATAGAGGGAGAGTTTCAACCAATGTCACCTGTAAGACTCTCTCCCAGGCCTCTTCACAAGGGGTCCCTGCATAGCGCCCCTGTGTGCCTTTCCTCTTCCACCCTCCTTCCCACTCTGCCCTTCCTTCCCCGCTTCCCTCCAGAGCAAATAAAGAAGCCTTTAAAAAAAACAAAAACACACAACTCTGTTTATTTGGGGGAACATACAACTGGGGAGAGGGAAGAAGGCTCAGGGCTGGGGCTGGGACTGGTGCCTGCCTTGGGTAGCTCAGGAGGCTTCAGCTGCCCGAGAGGTCCCCCCACCACCACATGGCAGGGAGCCCACCAAGCAGCCCCTGGGGGCGAGGGCGGGGGGGGGGAGCCAAGGGAGGGAGTTTGGGCGGGGGGCAGGGGCAGGGAGGTGGCTGGTGGCCTGCTTCATGCACATGTCCATGTGTTCCATCACAGAGGTGATAGAGGAACACATGGCCTTGTGGTGGTGTGCCAGCTGGTCCCAAAGGGCCTTCCGCTGCTCCCGGTCAGCAGCCCGCTCCCGGAACTCCTCATCAAGCCCCTGGATGAGGGACTAGAGGCAGGCCATCTGGCCCCCAGCAGATCTTTCCGGGTTTGCTTTCTCTGGAGGATCCACGGAGTCATAAGAATGGTGTGGGAGGTGATGGGACATGGCATGCTCACAGCTTGTCCAGCTGTGAAGAAAAGTTACAAAGGCAGTCATCCCAGGAGACAATGTGTATGAAGCCTAGCCCTAATCTCTGAGCCAACACCAAAGATCTTGGTTTAGATGATGGTGATGTGCTTCGAGCAACACCATCTCTTGCCTAGACAGCGGTACTTTCCAGCAGACACACGCATATCCCAGGGCAGTATCGCTACACTCTTGGCCCAGACAAGCAGGCATGGGAAGGTGCTGGCCAGGTCAGGAGCCTGCGGGCGAGGAAGGGTGGTGAGGGAGAGGGCACTGAAACAGGGCAGTTGTTTCCTTCTGCATCCCACAAACACCGATTCTGTCACTGGTGGCGTCCCACAGATAGGATACGTCTACACTTGCACCCTAGTTCAAACTAGGGGTGTAAATGTAGGCGACCGAAATTGCTAATGAAGTGGGGATTTAAATATCCTGCGCTTCATTAGCATAATCTCGCCCGAGCGCTATTCCGATCACCAGCTGATTTGAACCAGGAAGTATGCTCTGGGTGCGTTTGTTCGAATCAAATCCCTTGGTTTGAACTAATGTTACTCAAAAACAAGCAGTAACGTTAGTTCGAATCAAGGGGTTTGATTCGAACTAATGTGGCCCGGAGCGCACTTCCTGGTTTGAATCAGCTGGCGATCAGAATAGCGCATGGGCGAGATTATGCTAATGAAGCGCAGGATATTTAAATCCCCGCTTCATTAGCAATTTCGGTCACCTACATTTGCATCCCTTGTTCGAACTAGGGTGCAAGTGTACCCACAGGGAACTTCTATCCCTGCCCGCTGGAGGAGGGGGGAGCGTTGGGGAAGGTGTGTGTGAGCAGCCTCTCCAGGAACCTTGTGGGAAGGAGCGAGGGGTTTCTGTGAGAGAGCATAATGGAGCAGAGTGCTCCAGACTAGTGCTCCATGTGCACAGACTTTTGTGTGACTCTCAGGGTGAGTAGGCTAAGTAAGGAACATGCAGCCTTCTGCAGACTGGCTGTCTGCCCCCATGCATGCATAGGGAAAGTTATATAACTCACTTGAAGTGCCTTCCTTGGGATCATCCGAGGCCTGGGAGACATCCTGGGAGTTGGGGACTGGATCCAGCATGAGAAGCAGCTCCTGGCTGGAGGGCACAATGACCTAGCTGGCCTGCTCCTCCTCCTCGTTGTCATCCACAACCCTGCCATCATGGAGGCTGACACTGGGCATATCCTTGGGAGTGGGGAGGAGGTGCAGAGATTCTGGAGGTTGATCTCCTCACCCCAGACCAAAATGAGGTCAAGAATCTCCACACCAGTCCAGGCAAATGCCCTCTTTCATCCCTGGCCAGGGCAGCCGAGAGTGCTGCAGTAGTGCTGGCAGCCATGGGGAACTCAGCGGGAGCACTGGGGTCCAACATGGCTCAGGGGATGGGTGCTGTGTGGCATGGGGCTGCAAAAGGTCTACATGTGCCACAAGCCCTTTTCCTTCAGCCTGCTGCTTTAAGCTCTGCAGGAGAAGGGGAGCATTGGAGATATCAGGTGTGTGGCTAGAGTAGCCACAAGTGCACCTGTGAGAGGCCTCTGTAGGTCAACTATTTTGAAATAGCAGCAGCTGAGTGTCCACACTACCACTATTTCAAAATAACAATTTTGAAATAAGCATTATTCCTCATGGAAAGGAGGAATTATTATTTTTAAATAACCAGACCCTTATTTTGAAATAATGGACTTGGCAGTGTAGACAATCCACTTACTATTTTGAAATTAGGGGAGTTATTTCGAAATAACTCCCTAGTGTAGACCAGGGCAGTGAGTCCTAAGAACTCAGGTATTCCTGTAACTCATTTCCTCCCTGAAGTCAGAATCCTCAACTCTCAATATCACAATCATCATCATGTTGAGCCTCAGTGATGGCACAGCTGTGATGTCACAAACTCTGAGTGAGGATCTGAATGCCGAACAGTTACAAATGTTGTTTCCTGTAAACATCCTTTATCGTAAAGATTGAGGAAATCATACCAAAAAAGACTGTAAGCAGATAATTAAATCATTGTTACTTGTTTCTGAATATTTTTCAAAGTTCTCCTGTGTTCAGCAGTTCTTTAAACAATAAATAAATGATACTGACATCAAAGAAATATCAGGATAAAAAATGCAACATTGCGGACATGTAATAAGGATTCATCAAGCTCACAGGTGACAGGCATGCACTTTTGTAGTGTACGGCTTGTAAATCTGCCTTACAGAAGACACAATAACCAGCCCCTGTGAATTTAGTAAAACAATAGTGCTTCTTCCATACACAAGATTGTAGTTGTCCATGAAACTGTGAACAATATATATTCATTGATAAGGTGTTTGAAATGAAAACAAAGATTTCATGTGAACTGAATTGGGAGCAGTTTACAGTTATCACCCAGTTAAATCTTTTTTTTTTTTTTGAAGTTGAATATTATTTTTAATACTCCATCATCATTTGCTCTTTACTGAAGTGATATTTACTAACTATCTAGAAACTCTATTTTAAGGCATATCTTCCATCCATTCAAGCTCAGGTCTGTCATGGGAGTCTTGAAAAACCTCAAGAAGCTCACTAGCTATTTAGTTCTCCTGCAATTAAAAGGGGCAATTGGACAAGAGAACACAAATCAACAGGCTCCCACACCAAAGCAAACATGGATGGATTTTCTTATTAAACAGTCCTCGCTAAATATTTTGAATAGTTTTTATTAATAACGTAAGAACAACCATAATGGGTCAGTCCAAAGGTCCATCTAGCCCAGTATCATATCTGCTGACAGTGGCCAATATCAGATGTCCCAGAGGGAGGGATCACAACAGGTAATCCTCACATGATCCCTCTCCTGTTACCTACCTCCAGAGAGGCTAGGGATACCACCATTCCTACCTATCCTGGCTAATAGCCATTGACGGACCTAACCTCCATGAATCTATCTAGCCCTTTTTTGCACCCTGTTAAAGTTCAAGCCTTCTCTTCAAGGAGTTCCACAGGTTGACTGTGCACTGGGTGAAAAAAACCCATTTCATTTTGTTTGTTTTAAACCTGCTACCTATTAATTTCATTTGGTGACCCCTAGTTCTTTTATTACGGGAATAAGTACATAACTTTTCCTTATTCACTTTTTCTATACCAGTCTTGATTTTATAGTCCTCTATCATATCCCCATTTAGTCTCTTCTTTTCTAAGATGAAAATTCCAAGTCTTTTTAATCTCTCTTCATATGGGATCCGTTCCAAACCCCTAATAATTTTTGCTGCTCTTTTCTGAACCTTTTCCAATGCCAATATATCTTTTTTGAAATGAGGCAACCAGATCTGTATGCAGTATTCAAGATGTGGGCTACCATGGTTTTATATAGAGGCAATAAGATATTTTCTGTCTTATTCGCTACCCTTTTTTAATGGCTCCTAACATTCTATTTGCTTTTTTGACTGCCGCTGCACACTGAGTGGATGTTTTCAGAGAACTATCCACAATGACTCCTAACATCTTTCTCTTGAGTAGCTGTAGCCAAATTACTCCCCATCATATTATATATATAATTGGGATTTTTTTTTTCCAATCTGCATTACTTTACATTTATCAACATTAAATTTCATTTGCCCTTTTGTTGCCCAATCACTTAATTTGGTGAGATTTTTTTGAAGCTCTTCAGAGTCTGCTTTGGTCTTAACTATCTTAAGCAGTTTGATATCATCTGCAAATTTTGCTACCTCACTTTTACCCCTTACTCTAAATCATTTATAAATAAGTTGAATAGGATGGGTCTCAGGACAGACCTTTAGGGGACCCCACTAGTTACCTCTCCCCCCTCGGAAAACTTACCATTTATTCCTACCCCTTGTTTCCTGTCTTTTAACCAGTTATCAGTCCACAAAAGGACCTTCCCACTTATCCCATGGCAACTTACTTTACTTAAGAGCTTTTGGTGAGAGACCTTGTCAAAGGCTTTCTGGAAACCTAAGTATAATATATCCACTGGATCCCCCTTGTCCACATGTTTGTTGACCCTCTCACAGAATATCAGCAGATTAGTAAGCCATGATTTCCTTTTACAGAAACCATGCTGACTTTCCCCCAACAAATTATATTCATCCATGTGTCTGACAATTTTATTGTTTATTATAGTATCCACTAATTTGCCCGGTACTGATGTTAGACTTACTGGTCTGTAATTGCCAGGATCACCACTAGAGCCCTTTGTAAATATTGGCGTCACTATCTTCCAATCATTAGGTATGGAAGCCGATTTAAAGGACTATTTACAAACCACAGTTAATAGTTCTGCAATTTCCCATTTGAGTTCTTTCAGAACTCTTGGGTGAATGCCATCTAATCCTGGTGACTTGTTACTATTAAGTTTATCAATTTGTTCCAAAACCTCTTCTAATGACACCTCAGTCTGGGACAATTCCTCAGATTTGTCATCTAAAAAGAATGGCTCAGGTTTGGGAATCTCCCCAATATCCTCAGCTGTGAAGACAGAAGAAAAGAATTCATTTAGCTTCTCCACTATGACTTTATCATCTTTGATTGTTCCTTTAGTATCTTGATCGTCCAAGGGCCCCACTGGTTGTTTAGCCGGCTTCCTGCTTCTGATGTACTTAAACATTTTACTAGTACTTTTGAGTTTTTGGGTAGCTCCTTTTTGGCTTTTCTTATTATATTTTTACAGTTAATTTGACAAAGTTTATGGTCCTATTTTCCTCATTAGGATTTGACTTCCACTTTTTAAAAGATGTCTTTTTATCTGTCACTGCTTCTTTTACTTTATTTTATTCCTCTACTCTCCATTGTTTATAAAATATTGAAAGAAGCTTAGAAATAAATTTTTTTTGTTCCTATGTTTCTACAGGACTAGCCACGAACACGGCTTTTGGTTTACTACAGGGCCCAGGAATATTTTTTGGTGCCCACACAAACTTGTAACGTGGGCCCCATCCCACACACACAGAACAATTTGAGGGTTAGGTTAGGCCCCCTTCTAGGTCCTGGTAAAGTATACCTTTCCCCCTCCCCATGCGGGGGCCCTAGTTTACTATATTGTCTGTATGTCAGGTCAGCAGCATCAGAGATGTCAGCACACCTTAGATGATCCAGTAGGGGGAGCACCAAACTGCTAAAGAACTGTAATGATTCCAATAGGCCTTTGAAGGAACACCAAACTTTCTGTCCTATAAACTGAGAATGTCTCTTTTAACCCCTCTCCAAAGTCATCATATTTTTAGTACTAGATCCCTGTTAGTGGGTGGGACTCTGATATTTAATTCTCCATTGAAAATTCTTCCCATGGTTGTTAGTCCTTTCCACACTGGCAGCACTAATCCACAAAAGAAGAACTGTAGCTGTTAGTAGATACATTGCCCATTAGTACCTGTTTTTCAAGGTTTGGTTTGCTGATCTGTAGAGTCTGAGGTCCAGCGAGCCTGGTACCTGGGGCTGCTATCACAATGCTGGTGAGCTGTGCCATAGGGAAAGTTTTGGCTATGGTTGCTGTCTGTCCATTAACAACACGTACTGGGTGTATAGAGTTCTGTGATGTGGGCAAAGAACCAGGTGTGAACTTCGTTGTCAGCATCACAGGCCTTTGAATAAGTTGAGGAGCTGCAAGCATCGGAGGTGGTGCTGGGGCAATAGGAATGTTATTCTGGGCAACTGGTTTGGGTCGAACCTACAAGGAAAACAACCAGACACATAATAATATCATAAGTATGCTACAGTAATGAACCACATTTTCAGTTTTATTGCATAAACCCATTCATGACACTTGCACTCACAGCTTTTGCTTCTGCATACATTTGCATGCCAAAATACTCATTTTCATATTTAATGCTAACTGTTTTGTATGTGCAAATCTAATTTTTGGTTTTGTGAGGACAACAAATGCCCATAAAGTCACAGGAGTAATTTAGGCACCCAGTTTTGAAAGTATGTTTCAAAAGTTTTTACATAGCTTTCAATATTGTAGTAATTTTTACATCTCCCGCCTTTGGCACCCCAGCCCCTCCAGCCCTCAACCCTCTGCCCCCCCTCATGGATCTTTACCCCCTCCAAGACCTGTAGCATTTTTATATCAGCCAAGAGATCAAATTCCTAAATAGCTGACAAAAGAGCTAAAGAAAAGGCTTCAGATATCCAATTAGTCACCATCGCACGTGTTGACTCCATGCATTGTATAGACACATTGTGCAAGTTTTGACACCATTGGCTAGCTCTGCAGAGGCTCTGCTATACTATGAACAACAAAATGCCCCTCAATGAACACATCAAAGCCTCTCCTGGTACATACAGCCATACTGGTTCTTGCTCTTTTCTCATAATATGTGAGAAAACTTCTACAGGTATGAAGCTAGAAAGCAGCTCTATAAAATTCAGGACCCAACATATTTTCTACCCTGTATCATAATTATCTTTGGCTGTATTTAGTACATTCACAATTATGCAAATATTTCACAGTTACAGAAAATAAAAATAGAAACAAAATCTACTAATCCATCTCTCTGCTAATAATATATTGTTTTCCATCATATATTTTCTGATATCTTGTCTATTCTACCTTTAATGTCTCAAAATACAGGGTGCATCCCTTCATGTACATCTGGAAACTTTGTCATAATTAAACAGATTTTACTGTCCCCAATGCCTTAGTCTGATAATAAGCCTAAAATTTTCCTCTCTTAATTTCATCCCTGTACTCCCAGTTATACCCCTTTTACTCTTTCTCCAAGGTGCTTCATCAACAAATGTGAAGAAATGACTAATGCAGGGGCAGGCAACTAGTGCAGGGGCAGCCCACTGCAGACCATGTGCTTCTCTAAAGACTGTGAGCCTGGGGGAGAATCATAGAATGCTACGACTGGAAGGGACCTTGAGAGGTCACCGAGTCCAGTCCCCTGCCCTCAAGGCAGGATCAAATACTGTCTAGACCATCCCTGATAGACATTTATCTAACCTATTCTTAAATATCTCCAGAGATGGAGATTCCACAACCTCCCTGGGTAATTTATTCCAGTGTTTAACCACCCTGATAGTTAGGAACTTTTCCCTAATGTCTAACCTAAACTTCCCTTACTGCAATTTAAGCCTATTGCTTCTTGTTCTATCCTGAGAGACCAGGAATAACAATTTTTCTCCCTCCTCCTTGTGACATGCTTTTAGATACCTGAAAACCGCTATCAAGTCCCCCCTCAATCTTCTCTTTTCCAAACTAAACAAACCCAATTATTTCAGTCTTTTTTCATAGGTCATGTTTTCCAGACCTTTTATCAATCTTGTTGCACTTCTCTGGACCTTTTCCAATATTTCCACATCTTTCTTGAAATGTGGTGCCCAGAACTGGACACAATACTCCAACTGAGGCCTAATCAGTGCAGAGTAGAGCAGAAGAATGACTTCTCGAGTCTTGCTCACAACACACCTGTTAATGCATCCTAGAATCATGCTGGCTTTTTTTGCAACAGCGTCACTCTGTTGACTCATATTTAGCTTGTGGTCCATTATAACCCCTAGATTCCTTTATGCTGTACTCCTTCCTAGACAGTTGCTTCCTATTCTGTATGTGTGAAACTGATTATTCCTTCTTAAGTGGAGCAATGCATTTGTCCTTATTAAACTTCATCTTGTTTACCTCAGACAATTTCTCTAGTTTGTCCAGATCATTTTGAATTATGACCCTATCCTGCAAAGCAGTTGCAACCCCCCCTACTTTGGTATCATCTGCAAACTTAATAAGCGTACTCTTTATGCTGATATCTAAATTGTTGATGCAGAACTGGTCCCAAAAGAGACCCCTGCAGAACCCCACTTGTTATACCTTTCCAGCAGGATTGTGAACCATTAATAACTACAGTAAACTTCCGATAATCCGGCACCTTTAAGACCCAGGGGGTGCCGGATTATCAGATATGCCGGACTATCAGAAGGGGGGGCTATGAGGGGTCTGGAGTGGGGTGGGAGGGGATGCCACCCCAGACCCCTTATAGCCCCCCCCTACGATAAT